AACTGCTGCTAAACAAGTCACCGTCTACATTACTGACAGAGCAACTGCTCCTAAACAAGTCACCGTCTACATTACTGAGAGAGCAACTGCTGCTAAACAATTCACCGTCTACATTACTGAGAGCAACTGCTGCTAAACAAGTCACCGTCTACATTACTGAGAGAGCAACTGTTGATAAACGAGTCATTGTCTATCTTACCGATAGAGCAACTGTTAATAAACAAGTTGCTGTCTACATTACTGAGAGAGCAACTGTTAATAAACAACTCCGTGTTTACCTCATTGACAGAGCAACTGTTATTAAACAAGTCATTGTACATTACTGAGAGAGCAATTTACCAAATAAGTTGCTTTCTACATTAACGTCAAAGCAACTGGTAATATACAAGTTGCTCTCCACCTTATTGACAGAGCATCTGTTGATAAACAAAACACTGTCTACATTACTCACAGAGCAACTGTTAATAAATCATCCCCAGTTTGCCCCTGAAGAAGAAAGGTCCACCTTTCAAAAGTGCTCGAGTTATAGGGTTTTTATTCATTTCTGTGAATAAACAAGTCACTGTCAACATTACTGACATAGCAACTCTTAATAAACAAGTCACTGTCTACATTACTGAGATAGCAGCTCTTAATAAACCAGTCACTGTCCACCTTATTGATAGAGCAACTGTTGATAAACAAGTCATTGTCAACATTACTGTCACAGCAACTGTTAATAAACAAGTCGCTGTCTACATTACTGATAGAGCAACTTTTAATAAACAAGTCACTGCTTACATTACTGATAGAGCAACTGTGAATAAACAAGTCGCTGTCTACATTACTGATAGAGCAACTTTTAATAAACAAGTCACTGCTTACATTACTGATAGAGCAACTGTTAATAAACAAGTCACTGCTTACATTACTGATAGAGCAACTTTTGATGAAGAAGTCCCCGTCTACTTTACTGACAGAGTAGCTGTTAATAAAGAAGTCTCTGTCTACGTTACTGACAGAGTAGCTGTTGATAAACCAGTCACTGTCTTCATTACTGTCAGAGCCTTGAACTGTTAGTAAACAAGTCCTGGGTTATTTTACAGAAACTTGAAGAAGGAAGAACCACTATTAGATCTGGAGACCACAATCACTTCTGCTGATCACCAGTCAGAATTTGAACAGTTAATAGATATTTCTAATGCCAGTTCCACTCAACATCACATGGAGAACTTGCTGAACAATGCTGATCAGCTCAACTCCAACAGAGTTACTCCCATCATAGCCTTTGAAGAAGTTACTCGAAAACAGGAGGACACTGATGCCTGGTAGGTAGTAGAATCTTTCACTTGTAATTTACACAGTATAACAGAGTAATGTTACTCGAAAACAGAAGGTAGTGGAAGTATAAACTAAGCCTTGTTTATTTTCTTGAGTTGCTGTAGGTAGTGGAAGTATAAACTAAGCCTTGTTTATTTCTCGAGTTGCTGTAGGTAGTGGAAGTATAAACTAAGCCTTGTTTATTTCTCGAGTTGCTGTAGGTAGTGGAAGTATAAACTAGCCTTGTTATTTCTCGAGTT